CCAACACACACCAACACACACACAACACACACAACACACACAACACACACAACACACACAACACACACACACACACCACACACAACACACACAACACACACAACACACAACACACGCAACACACACAACACACAGACACACACAGACACACACAGACACACACACACAGACACACACACAGACACACACACACAGACACACACACACACACACTTGAACTCCCGAAGGAGGGTACTGATCAAAGTACTGTATGGGTCTTCGAGTAATAGTTTCGGCTGGCAGGTCACTTGGCTCCCCTCTAGCTACTTCAACAGGGAACCAAGAAGCAACAGCGGTTCAGGGAGGGGACCAAAAGGACATTCAGAGATCACTTGCAGGTACGCATTGAGGCGTCCCTCAACGCTTCCGGCCAAACTTCCATAGCTTCGTTGGCGTGGCTAGGAAGATGGCTGCCACGCCCCCTGCGGTTGTAGTCATAGTCAAGTGTGGTGGCAGGGTGTTCTGCCACTCCGCACACACACACGCAACCACACACAACCACACAAACACACACAAACGAACAAACCAGCAAACCAACGAACAAAGAAACAAACAAAAACACAAGTATACAAACTTTCAATTAAACAAACAATCGCACACAAACACACACACACACGCACCCAGACACACGCACACACACAGACAGATACACACAAAAACATGCAGACGCACACAAACAGACACACACACAGACACACACACACACAGACAGACACACACACACACAAAAAACAAAAAAGCAGACAGACAAACAGACACACAGACAAACAGACACACACACAGACACACACACAGAGAGACACACACACAGAGAGACACACACACAGAGACACACAGAACACACACACACGTACAGACGCGCGCGCACACACAAACAAAGCGTACGTACGTACGTACATACTTGCGCACGCAAAAACACGCATGCGCACGCGCACGCACGGCAAACACGCAGACACGGAAACACGCTCACACACACACACAAGCACACAAACGCACACGCACGCGCACGCACCCACACTTACCCAAACAAAGGCACACACGCAAGAACACGCAGCAGCACACCAACGAACAACACAAGCAAGCAAACAAACAAACAAGCAAACAAGCAAGCAAGCAAACACACGCACACAGGGAGCTGCATGCCCAACCCAGAAGCACTGGCTTATTTAAATATTTTCAAAGGTGGGAGGCGTCCTACGCACAGAGTCGTTTGGAGATGTAGCAGGGTCCTGCGCAGCACTCGGTCGCCTTGGAGGGTGGGTTGCACCCTGAACCTGGCCTCAGCTCAAGACAACATGTCAACTGCTGTAAAGCTGCCGAAGCCAACCCTTCACTACCCGCAGGAAAGCCGAAAGTGGAAAGCACTCCTAGCGACGCTCATCCTACACTCATCGCGTAGGCCAACACAACGTCGCCAATTTCACAGCTGAATGCTTTCAAGCTTGTAGTGCTTACATGTCTTACTTTCCGAAGCATGTTTGTGGGCGCCTGTCTGTGAGCTCTAGCCGTTCCGGTGTCACACCCCGTTCCATATCTTTGAAAATGAAGCTATTGACTGTGCTCCTCAATGCTGGCCTGGCTGCGAAGCTTGGAGACGTGGCAGGCAACATGAGCCTGTTGTCGGCAGCTTTGGGATCGGTAAAACCGGTCGACTTGCCCGGCGTCGGGCAAGTGTTGATGAAAGAGGAGGATCATGGAGATAAATGGGCTCTGGTCATGAAGCTGAGCAAGAACGATTTCTGCCATGGCAGCTCCAGGTGGACAGATGGTGAGGCCTTCAATGCCGACAAGATGTTGGATGACAGCTTCCCGAATCACAGGGAGTATGATGCCAAGCACATTGCCTTTCACAAGCTCGCAGGCGTCACTGCCATACGATTGCAGACCCAGTCCGGATCTTCCGAGGTGTACTTTGAGGGATCCGGCACGCCAGAGCAGTTGATCACCACCAATGACATTAAGATCTCTGCCGCGGGTGGCTTCAACTCCAAGACATACTGGGACTCATGGCAGACAACCTTCGGGAATGCCCGCGATCGTGCTCCAGCCTTCATGCGCGCAGACAAGTTTGTGACTGACCCCAAACCGGAATGCCGAACAGATCCATGGAATGCTCCATCCGGCTGCGGAAAGCCCTGCCTTTTTTGCATGCAAGCAGGAGATGGCAGCGGGTGTCCGGTGGCCAGAGCGCACAACGACATCAGCTCCGGCATCGGCTTGAGTGCAAGTTATTGCGGCGGAGGCGACTCAGGAGACTGCAGTACCAGTAGCAACTGGGCCGGTGACAGGCGCACCTTGGTGTGGGCCAAGATCGCAGGCCCGCACGCACTCATTCTCAGTGTTGTTTTTTTTCTTTCAAACCTGCCAAGGGCTTGTGGAAGTAGTCTGGCAGGTGGCCGTGGCCGCAATTTACGATTTTGTTTTCATGGCACTCTTTTTGCACACCCGTGAAATAGCCTTCAATGCCACATGTTCGACCACAAATGCCTGGCAGTAGGAGGAGGTAGGTCCTAGGTGCAAATGAACAAAGGAGACGCCCGCGCACAACTAGGCCCCCAGCCACGGTCACTCACCACGCAACAAATGATGCGCCCTTCAACTAGGCAGCCGCCAGTCAGGTTTTTTGCACGCCAACTAAGCGCCCACAGACCACGCAACGAATGATGTTGGGGTGTTTGAAGTCACAAACCATGCAACAAATACTGGCGACACAACCCAACCCCAGCAGAAAGCAGCTTGCAGGAGCCTTGAAACTTTTGCGCCCATTTGACCGCAGCTTCCCAGCTGGATGTTCGGGAATGTTTGGCGAAAGGTCCGCGAAAGTTCCGCGAATGGTTTTCCAGAAAGTGCTGCCGCACTTTGTGTACTACCTTTGGAACTGAAAAGTTGCGACTTTCGAGCTGGGGCTGCGGAAGTTTAGTTCAGGCCAGACTGCGGAATTGTACGTTGTGTGCTACTTGTGACGAATCTTGTGAACATAGCCCCGCGAAACATCCGCGATGGAGGCCGCGAAAGTGTTTTGTGTTTTCCGCGAAGATGGCATGTCCAGGCGGCCCAACCGAACGTCCGCTTTCCTCAGGCACCACATTTCCCACGATGAGCACGCCGGCTAAGGCATGCCTGTCAACTAAGCACCCCGCACTCACAGAACCCATAACACATGATATTCAGTTGCCCACTGAGCAGCAACACATGATGCATATTCGCAAACTGAACACTTCCTGCGTTGACGATGCTAGGCGCGCCCGCCAACGAAGCACCGGCCACAGTCACACGGCGTGGAGTGCGAATTACGGATTGTGGGTTGCATGGATTGCCCATGCTCCAGCATACTCACAACTTGCAGCGCGGATTACGGATGTTGAAGATATCTAACCAGAACAAGGGTTAAGCGGATTTCGGATTGCGATTAGGTCCCCCAGAATTTCGAATAGGCTGGAATTACCAACCGAGCACCCACTGTCTTCAGGCACCACGATTCAAATGGTAAGCAGCCCCCCTTCCCAGATTAAGTGCCCGCCACAGCCAGATACCACGCAGCAAACTGATATGCACACCTGCCAACTGAGCACTCTCCACAGACACACACCACGCGACAAATGATGCACGCTCGCAAACTGAACACCGACTGCACTGAGGCACCATGTTTCAACTGTTGAGCATGCCCCCGCCAAGCACCCGCCGCAGCCACATACCACGCAACAAATGAGATGCACACTCGCAAACTGAGCACCTGCCGCAGACGCACAAAAGGCGCAAAAGGTCCTTGACGTGCTTAGTGTGTAGAGGCTTAGAGGCGCGTTGAGGATTGGTGGCCGGAAGGAGCTCGCACTGCCATGTCTTAGCGGCACATGGCAGGCACTCGATTGATTTCAGCGCCGGGCTGGGGCCAGCTTTTGGTCAAGGAGGAGAATGGAGATAGCTGGGCTCTGGTCATGAAGCTGAGCAAGAACGACTTCTGCCATGGCAGCTCCAGGTGGACAGACGGTCAAGCCACCAATCCCCATTTTTTGCTAGACACCAGCTTCCCGAATCACAGGGAGTATGATGCCAAGCACATTGCCTTTCACAAGCTCGCAGGCGTCACTGCCATACGATTGCAGACCAAGTTCGGAGCTTCCGAGGTGCACTTTGAGGGATCCGGCACGCCAGAGCAGCTGATCACCACCAATGACATCAAGATCTCTGCTGCGGGTGGCTTCAACTCCAAGACATACTGGGACTCATGGCAGACAACCTTCGGGGATGCCCGCGATCGTGCTCCAGCCTTCATGCGCGCAGACAAGTTTGTGACTGACCCCAAACCGGAATGCCGAACAGATCCATGGAATGCTCCATCCGGCTGTGGTAAGCCCTGCCTTTTTTGCATGCAAGCAGGAGATGGCCCCGGGTGTCCGGTAGCTTCAGCTTGGAACGACATCAGCTCCGGCATCGGCTTGAGTGCAAGTCATTGCGGCGGAGGCGACTCAGGAGACTGCAGCACCAGTGGCAACTGGGCGGGTGACAGTAGCACGCTGGTGTGGGCCAAGTTTTCTGGCTGCACCTCGTCCATGCAGTCGGGAGCGTGCAACGGAGACCTGCACGCTGAAGAGTGCAGCACGGTGCCGTTGGCAGACTGTGGAAAGAAGTTTGTCCAGGACGGTGAGGTCTTTTTGCAATGCATGCTGGTGGGTGGCAACACATGCTCTCCTGCAGGTGGAGCTTGCCTCATGAGCGACTGTGACTTAATTAACTTTGCATAGGCACATCGCTTGGCCCGTCGAAAGAGCAAAAAGCAAGCCGCACGCATTGGCCTGCGCATTTCTTCACCTTTGCTCATTGACCCTGGAACACAGCGGCTGAGTTTCAGATTCATGTGAATGCGTTGACAGTGAGTCATTGTTAAGGAGTGGTTTTATGATTTGCGCCAGCGAGCAACTTGCTCCCCTTGCCTCCTTGAGACGAGCAGTGCAGACCGTCAGGTCTCAAAGATGAATTGCTCAGACCACCACTTCAAGCCAGAGTCGGGACCACAGCTGGGCAGAAATCGGAGCTTTGGAGTTGCAAGCATATGTTTCCCTTTGCGTTGTAATCAGATCAAAGGCAAGTCGTGTCAACTCGTTTTAGAAGGTATGGCGGGCAGGTTTTACGTATTTGGATGTTCTGCAAGCTATCCTTCAAAACCTGCAACCGATCATCTCAACGATGGGGTTTCTCGTTGTGGTTTTTGAGTGAGTTGGTTTCCTACCAGCGCCTGGAACTAGAATGTCGTATCCGTGCTTCGAGCTTGGGCTTGCTAGCTTGACGCGCAGCATTTCAACGATTTCAAGAGAGCGTTGAGTGCGGAAGTTCTGCGAAAGGCTGCCAGCTGCGAAAGGTTCACAGTGGGGGGCTATCCATTGGTTTAAACATGTTTTTGTTCACCATTGGTGATGATTTCTTGTGAAGGTGGTGTTTAAACTGGTAACCAATGGGTAGCCCTGGTTCAGCTACCTTCAGCTACCATATTTTGCCCCACCCTTCAGCTACCTGCGCGTGCGCTCTTTCAGGTCGCTGTGGCTGGCCCCGGGCTCGCAGTCGTTCCCCCGAAGCGGCTGCTGCGCCTGGGGCCCCGGCCCTGCCATGCGCGGCCATGCGCGGCCACATGGTCAGTTCGCCTTAACAGGGCTCCTTAAAAGAACTCCATTTTGCAACCATTTGAAACATGTTGCTTTTTCCACGAAAATGACGGGAAACCACCATTTACAAGGCAATGTTCAGGCGTATGTAAGGATCCCTGCTTAACCCCGTCAGGTGGGATGTTTTCCGAAAGCCTTTGGGAACTTGAGCATGTCCTGCCTCAAGCCTTGGTTTGCAAGCTTTGGGGTAGAAAAAATGGACGTCCCAACATGGCATGTGATACGTTTGGCGCCGTTTTTTGAAAATAGATGGTGTGTGAGCCGTGGACTCCATGCCCCTCTCAGGCCTTGCGGCCGCGTCAACACACTCAGCTTGCATTGCGGATTGCGCACTGGGGCCAGCGGGGTGGCCAAGCGCGAAATGGAGCACACTGTCCTTTAAAGGCTGCCTTCTTGGAAGTTGGTTTCCCAAGTGTACAAATCATTCCTTTGGGAGGCATGCCAGACCTGTTTGCGGAAGCAAATATTTAAAACAGGAGCACTCATTTACATCGGTGCCTTTTTTTAAACTATTTATTTGTTCGCATCACCGTCATACAGCTCCATTTGCCAGCAATGCAACGGGCGCACCCAGAACTTGCGAAACCGTCGCAACTTGTTCATTGGTATTTCAGAGTTGTGGTTTGGTTTGAAATCCAGCACGTCATGGACGAGCCATGGCTCCGCAGACGCTGCTTCGCATCGGTTCAATCAAATTGTTGAGGCTTGGTAGCACCCAGTAGAACCCCTGCTTGAAATTAAGAGTGCCAGGCAGGCACCAAAAACATTCCGCTCAGATCACAACACGAAAATTTGGCTGCTGCCTGAGAGGAGTCAGCGCATGTCTGTCGACATTGTTCGTTTGGACCGCTGCATTTCCATCGCGTCAGCTGAAGTCGCAGTTCGCCGGAGCGACAACGCTATTGCATCCACATCTGTTTGATTCCATGCAGCTTCTTCTTAGATTCTTGTCCCGGTTCCAGTCATTGCTGTTCCACTCGCTGTTGGTTACACTTGTTGGAAAGCCCTGCTTTACGTGATAGACTCCTGCACTCGAGCCGAGGGGCCCATGGCCCCCACCGCTCGTTGAGATGGAGCCTGCGCCACGGACCGCGCCCGTTCCTTGCGCCCGCGGGCCGCAGAGGCCGTGCGCCCGGCGCGGCCCTTCGCGAGAACTGCCATGGGCGCCCCTGGCGTGTGCGGCAAGAGCTCTTCACCGGCGGCTGCGCTGCGCCGCACGGAGCTACCACACCTTGAAGATCAATCTGAACAAGGCGATGGGCGGATGTCCGCAGTGTCAGTGCCGTCACGGGAAATGAAATGATGGCCAGCGAGACGCCTGGGTGTCGCCTGCACAATCAGCGCATGTCCCCTCCCTTTGGGTCAGGTGGCAGAGCGCGGCGACATCCAAGGCGCAGAGAAGATATTCCTGAAAGCGCGACTGGGCCGCAACAGGCTTCGGCTTGAAAAGGCGGATGAACCAATGTGCGACCATCTCGCTGTGCATCTGCATGTTTCTCATGTCCTGCATGCAGCGGACTTCGAACAGTGTCTGGGCAACATGGCTTGGGGATTCGGGAGTGGTATGCCCAGGTATAGTGAGTCTTTTTGACAGCTGTCACGCAGCTTCCTTGCACCTTTCCCACGGGTGTGTGCCTCAAGGCAGCCATTGGCGCCGGAAAGCGAGAAGCGCATGGTCTTCAACACGGTCATCAAGTCCTGTGCCAACGCGGGGGACATCGCGTCAGCCGAGGCTTGGTACCAACGTTTGTTGGCAGAAGGCCTGGTGCCCAACAAGGAGCTGTGTTGCTCGGCGCAGCTTGCTCGACCTCGCTCAAGCAAGTATTATTCTACAGTGCTTGGAATTCAATGGGGATGTCGCTTCGTGTCAGAATGAGGGCTAAGGGAGACTAAGACGTGAGAGCGTTCCTCTCTCATTTCGCAAGAATTACATGTAGCAACTCAGCAGTCCAGTGGATAGTTCGGTGATTGACTCATTTGGTTTACGCTGCTTTGTCCGGGCCCTTGAAAGATGCATCCAATTTTGGGAGGACACGACGGACCTAGCCACTTCCCCACCTGACTCATTTGCGTGTTGGTGCATGTGAGCCAGGGCAGGGTGGCCAGTATTCTGTTGGGTTTGATCGGTTTAAAATAGTGTTTAAGGAATGCTGAAAGATTCTTGCGAGGTGTTTTGCTTGCTGAGACTGAAGCTTTGTCCTTTGGGCATCGCGTTGAGTTTGGTTGTTACTCGTGCAAGGGCCCAGTTGTCGAGCGGCACTCTTTTCCTTTTTGTTTGGTGGCCCCACTCAAAAAAGCGCTGCAAACGACAAAGGCTCCCTGTTTCTACCAAGGCCACTGGGCGACTTGGAAGTGGTCGAGTCTTAATGTTTTCCCTGCAGTCTCCGTTCTTTAGTGAACTGAATGCTTTGCCTTGTTCGGTTTGCATGGGCTCTTTCTGGTTTCGTGACCAGTCAATATTTTCAGCGGCCTGCGAGGAGACTTTTGGGAAGTTGAGCGAGGCCGCTGCTTGGCTCACAGATGGGCAGGACGACGCTTGAAGGCGACCATGTCTGAAGTTATTTAGGTTGAGTTGGCCTTACCTGACCAGCAATGGAGCAGCATGTTGCCTGCCGCAAATTGTTTGTGTTTTTTGTGCATCAAATTTGTCTTTGGGACAGCAGGCTTGTTCGAGGACATCTTGCGAACTATTCAAGCAGATTCCCATACTGCACTAACAGCAATTTCCTCGCAGGAATGGCCATCTCTAGGATAATCGTGCACCAATGTTGCAACCCTGACGCTAGTGGGCATCAAACAGATGCTTGTCAGGTTTCCGAAAGCTGGCCTAGGCGAGGTTTTTGAGGTTTCTCGGCGGGGAGAGGGTGGGTGACGGCCTGTCTTGGCTGGATCGGTTTGCCACATGCTACGTCAACCTTGGAATTCACATTTTGAAAAGACAGCGTCAGTTCGAAAGCAAACGGCGCGAGCTTTGGTCGGCCCTTTCTTGAGCTTTCCATTGGAGGCACATGGCAGCTTGTGGGAAGGAATCAGAGAAACGGAAGCCTTGAGGCCGCAAAGGCAGGAGATGCCCTACGAGCAGAGCACTGGTTCCAGATACGCGAAAAGCTGCAGTTGACCATCACTCCGGTGACTTTGCTTTGTGCAGTGGCTTGAGGGTGGAAGCCGTTTGCCGTTTGTGCTGGTTGTGTTTGTTGAGTTGTTTGGTGGCTGTTCGGTCTTTTGGATGGTCAGCTGGTTGGCTGGTTGGCTGGCTGGCTGGCTTGGGGCATTTTGCTTTGAGTTGTCCTGCGGCATTTCTCTCCCATGTTAGCTGAGGTGGCCATGAACATTCTGATTGATGCAGCCGCAAAAGGTGGCTCTCGCGCCCAGGCAGCTCAGCACTTGGAGGAGATGTGGCTGAGGAGCGTCGCCCAGCAAGACATGCAATCGTTGTGTTGCTTTGCTTCGTGTCGCTATCGAGGGAGTAAGCCTATTTGCTGCGTGAATCATTCCACACATGGAATGGTGTGTGTGTGGCTATAGGCTTCATCCATTTGGTATGAGATTTAATAGGGGAGCACCCTCCAGTGGACATCAATCCCTGCCGAAAGAATGTCCACCAAGAACCTTCAATCGAGACCTTCAACAGCACAAGAGAGAGACAGCGAGAGAGAGCGAGAGAGAACAGACAACAACAGGTGAGCAACAGACAAAACTCTCTGTTCAACGATAATTTTGGTCACTAAGCCGCCCGGATGTAACTGTAATATTGCCGGCCGCTCAGGTGTCTCTGATTTCATGTGACCCTGCGCCCGTTTGCAATCGCTCAGGTCACCCCCAACGTGCGCAGCTACAACTCGGCAATCTACGCCTGTGCGCGAGCAGGGGCGGTGGAAGAGGCCGAGGCGTATTTGCCGAGGATGCAAGAGGCACGCGTCGAGCTGAGCCAGCGCACCTTCAGTCCCTTGAGCTGGCGGCTAGCCGGTTTTTTGAGTGGGTTCCTGTGGTTCCTTGAAGATAACATGGCTGGGGGCTGAGGTTTATGCAATTTATGCATTTCTCTCCAGTATATAGAGACCATTTGGTGCTGGTTGATCCTCTGCCCTTGCAATCATTTGGCGGAAAGATGTAATGAGTGAATGATTTTCTGAGCTGCCGTACCAGTGTAGCGAAGGGAAGGCATGTGTCCTTCACCATGCCGAGTTGTTTTGGCACGTGCGTGTGCTTTTGAGGACTGATTGAAAGCCAGCGAGCAAACCCATTGCTGCATGTGTGTCTTCCACTGTCTCAGCGGGTTGCCACGCAAGGTTCGCTGATCCACGGCTGCGCCAAGAGTGGCGCGATCCAGCGCGCGGAATACTGGCTTCGGGAATTGCGCCTGCGCGGCCTGTTGCCGAATGTGGTGACCTACACTGCCTCTTGAACAGATGGCCCTTCACTCTGGGGGAGGGCCGCATGGTAAATCTGGCAGCCCATATGTGGCTGTGGGTCAAAAATAGGTACCCCAAATGGAATCCTGGTAAATGGATACATGGACTAAAACCTGCGGTCCCCTGGTGATTTGATTTTGACCCATACCCATGTAACGGCCACTAGTTGCAGTTGCGACATCTACTGCTTACCGTTGCCATCCTTGTTTGTGAGGCGATGATCGATGCCTACGCGCAGACTGGCAACGCGCGCTACTGTGGCTTGACCCGGTGGCTGGCATTGGGGATGCAGGGGATGAATAGGGATCCAGCATCCAGGGAAGTCAACGTTTGGTTTTGCCTGGACGTGCAAGCGCAAGCGAGATACACTAAATAGGTTCCACAGGTGGGCGGGATTTGTTTGTTGTGTTGTTCGTCCATTTTTGGTAGGAAAGGCCCAGAGGAAACCAAGAGGAGCCAGCCTGAAGAGTTTCCATTTTGGAGACGTCCATGACTCGATGTGTGTCCAGGCGAGAAGTTCTTGTTGGAGATGCGCGAGCAATCCGTGAAGCCTACGGAGGTCAGCTACTCCTGCATCATGCTGCCTGCTTTAATTTGATGCCGGGGGGGGTTGTTTGAAGGTTTTTCCTCCGGGTCCGACTTGGGCAAATGATGTCAGGGGAAGGCTGTGTGTGTGTTTGATTGCGGGATATTGCGGGCTGATTGTGGCATTCACGGGATCCCAAGCGGCTGCCGCTGGGCTCCGGGCAGCCGAGAGACACGCTTGGCCGCTTGGCCGCTTGGCCAGGAATGCCTATGCGTCGGTGGGGGACCAAGAGAACACCTTGCAGCTTCTGCAAGAGATGCAAGAGCAGCAGCTTCAACCTACAATGACCACCTACAGCATTCTGCCCCTCAGCTGGAAGTGAGAGAAAAGAGTGGTCAAGCAA